CTCCCAGTTTGCTTCACAGTGATGCTGACCTGCTGCACACTCCTCCCTGTCTGCTTCACAATGATGCTGACCTGCTGTACACTCCTCCCAGTCTGCTTCACAGTGATACTGACCTGCTGTACACTCCTCCCCATCTGCTTCACAGTGACGCTGACCTGCTGTACACTCCTCCCAGTAATGGCAGAGAAATCTTTTTTGAAATCCTTATTTATTGCCCTGTTCCTATTGCATTCTCAATTTCACCTACAATTAATAAGCTTTCAGTTTGACATTCAGGTTACTTTTATGACAGACTGGTAAAAGTAAACTGCACCTCTTCAGCCCTCTTGTCACATGTGGTGCCTTTCAGATAGTTAATTGTCGCTTTCTTCACTGTTGACCAACTAAGTATGTCAGCATTCACCCTGTTCACTTGTTCAATACCAAAGTAGCCTTGAGAATCACCTGTAATTGTTTCTCTTCCCGTTCCTACACAGTTAGCTCTGCTGGCCCCCGAGTATCTATCCTTACCTCCCACACCTACTTCTCATTTGCACACTCCCCTTATAATGATAGCTAAAATGCCAGTTTCTATACATACTTTAATGTCTATCCACCTCCAGCACCAAAACTCTTGACCTCCCCACTGATGCTATATTGCCAGATAGATTGTTCAACTGAGATCTAATACTGGATCAACAACAATGTCCTCTAGTTACATTTAGGCAGGTTGAAGTCTGGTTAAACGCAGGTTTACTCTCTGCTACAAACTCCATTCTCTAGCCATCACCCCTGTATTTGCTAACTGCAAATGATATTAACTTAAACAACACATCAACTTCACAACACTGTTGTTTTCAAATATCTCCATGATTTCAATCCAAACTGACTCCACATTATAATCTATTGCAACTATATCACGACTACACTGACAACGTAGCCTATTAACTGTGCCACTCCACTGTAATCAAACAACTGTGGGCCCAAAATTGGACATTCTAAATTGACCCACAGTGGGCGAGAAAATCAGGCCTGACAGAAAATTAGCCAAACCAAATTAAACGGCAGCCAGCAGTGGCCAGCTACAGAGAACAGTGGAAACCAAAGTCAACAAGGTCACTAAGTTTCAGGGGAACCAGTTATAGCTAGCCCGAGTTGTATATTAGAGAACTACTGATCAGACTTTCTGGCACCTTGACTTCCAGCTGCTGTTTGAGGACACGCACTTTACACTTCCTCATCATGGCAACAATGAAGGATCAACCCCATTGGATGCTTTGAACCCCCCTCCTGACTCCATTGTCCAAAAGCCACGGAACATTCAGGAAGGTCCAGAGTGAGGGGGGATATAAACACACAACTGGAAGCCATCCCCTTGGCTAAGGCTCTCAGCAAGACTCATGGTGGAAAACCATGCGATAACCCAAGGAGATCCAGGAGAAGATCTGCCCTGACCTGTGAAACAGACCTTCTTAGAAGACAGCCAGGCCTACAAGAGAGAGTTTCCAATGATCCAGCTCAAAAATATGGAATATTGTGGGTAATATCCTTTCTCAGAAGGATAGAGCTAGATGTAGAATAAATATTGTGGGAAATTGGGATATGCTCACATGGTGTTCTTGATAAGGGATAAAATTGAGTAGAACCGCAAGCCAAACTGCGTTCCTTTATCCTTCTCACCAGCAAGAGCCCTTGGATAAAGTGTTGTTAATACATGTATTTAATACATAAACTGTTCAAAGTGTCCAACTCAAGGACAACATTCCCAACTCCTTTTCCTTTCTGCCTATTTTTCTGGAGCAACCTGGAATATTGAGTCCCTAGTCCTGGTCACCCTGCAACAACATCACTGTAATAGTTATCAAATCATATTTATTTCTTTCTATTTGTGCCATCAACTCATCCACCTTGTTACAAATGCTTTGCTCATTCAAATTAAGAAGGGAGCTTTAAACTTTGACTTCTTCTATACATTTCTGAAATCTCCTCCAGCCCTCTAACCCTCAGCTTTCTCTAATTCTGGCATTAAGCAGTCCTGATTTTAAGCCCTCTTTGTCATTGATGAATATGTCTTCAGTTATTTCAACCCTAGGCTTTGGAATTCTTTGTAATTTGTAACCCACCCTGCTTGACTTTCCTTCTTTAAAGGCACTCCCTTGAAAACACCTCTCACTGACCCAGCTTTTGGTTATCTGATATAATAGCTTATGTGGCTCAGAGCTTTAAAGCAAACAGACAAGTGAAGGAATACTCATCTAGAGAAAATTTAGATGTGTTGACTAAACCTTTGGGAAAAGAGGCAGATTTTGAGAAGTTTGAAAAGATATATGCAGGCAGGAAGAGGTTTTATGGAGGGAGTTTAAAATAGAAAATTCTAGGTTTCTGAAAATTCTGCTCTCATAATGGGGTTAGTCAGAGATGCAATAGGTGGGCAAATAACAAGTTGCAACCAGGTTAAAGTTGTTTATTTCCTTCAAAAAAACATTTTTCCTCAGTGAAAATCACTCAGAACTTCATTTTGTGCGCTTGTTTTTCTTCCAGCCTGATTTGAGTTTTATTAATGATACCCAAGAAGGTTCTCTGACTTTGGGCATAAATGCATCCAAAAAGTGTTAAGGTCTGAAGTATCATAAGCCATTTAAAATAACCTCAAAATCAACTTCTCCAATACCTTGTATTTAGTTTATTCTTAGCTCTATATATAATAAAATTAGAAGCTCAGAAATGTTTGTCGAATAGCACTACCAGCCAGTTGATTTTATATTGTTCCATGGGAGAAAACTAATCAGCACCAATGAGTGGTCATTTACATTTTATCCCAATATTTTATTAATTGCAAAACCTGCTCTCAAAATCATGGTGAATAAAACATTAGATGAGAAAACTGCATTGATTGTCATCTTTCAGCTAATTACAAGCATTTTCTTTTTCCCCAAGCTCCAGAAGCAGATCGAAATCCTGTCTTGCACTACATCAATTTGAGTAAAACTAGAAGTGCTAATTAGGGCTCGTTTCCCATTTGATTTTTGGATTACTGACAGCTAATTTCTTGGCTGACAGCATAGGTTATAGTTTGTTAAAAGCTTTATCTTTATCATGGACATTTGAATCATTTGTTATGATCCCAGTTGATGGTATCACCGCATATGTCAGATCCTAGAATGAAACATTGCTCAACAGAAAATATTTCATGTTTGTTTTCTTTTGGTTTTAATGAGGTGATCTCTCACTGAAACACAGGCACTCAATGGTGTAGATTTTGTTTTAACAATAAAACAGATATTAATAAACCAAAAGAAATAAGGACAAAATAAAATAAATCAATCTACTTTTAACACAAATTCAAAGAGCTTTAAACATAGAGCAAAAGTATAACCTCATCATACCAAAACATTCCTTGACAAGTTCCAAAAAAAAAATCCATCATACAGTATCCAAAAGCATCCCTTTTGTATTACTCAGACCAGAGAAAAAGTTTCTTATCCTAACAACGCAATTGTTTTAAGGCAAGTTTGACTTTAAGTCCTCAACTGAAAATGCTGATAGTTCCAGGAAGAAGCTACCATATGCCTGAGCTTAAAATACTTATCTTCAAGTAACCTCTTCAGGGTTTTATCCCAACACTTTGGGTTTGGGACTAACTCCTTTTTCCAACAGATTTGAGTTTTAATATAATTTTGTTCTTCTTAACTGCCCTCCTCTAGACAACCATCTCTATTTAAAAAAAATCACTAAACTACGCGCAACAAAGTCAAACTTGAAAACAAAACAAATTCAAGGTGTTTTCCCGAAGCTTCAAAAACTCCTAAGCCGAGAAATTTCTAACATAAATTAAAGCACAATAGTTTACCTTACTAAGTTGTAAAGCCATCAGTACTACCAGTAATACCTTTAGTACTAGCTCTAAAAACCTTCTTTAAAAAAATCACTATGGCCACAAAAATGCTTACAAGTTAACTTCAGACACATAGACAACCCAGATATCACTGACCAAAATCCAAAATTAAAATAAATGGTATCTTATAAATAAAAAGGATAGTTATTTTATCCATCCTTGTTCATTATTAGGCAAAAGGCCAAATCTTCCAAGGAATGGCAATTACTGGATCGCTACTCTATTCCTCATTTTCTTACCTTGCCCAGGAGTTCTGCATTTCTGGCCTGAGCTTCTGAATCTGGCCTCCTGAGAAATCCGGAGTGTACCTGTTCTGGGGGTCTTCCAGCGAAGTAAATGATCAATGTTGGAGGCCAAGCCATGCCCCCTTTTTACAGTAGTAGGTTCTGTATTCCGGGGTTTTAAGGTCCCAAAGGTACTGTGACAAACTATGGAGAGAAGTGTGTAAAGTAAGTAGGTGAGGGGGGCAGGGTAGCAGGTGGGGATGTGAGGGTGGCAAGATAGCAAGGGTGCAGTAGGTGAAAGTGGCAGGTTAATGGGAGGGTAGCTAGCGGGAGCAGGATTGCACTTTAATGAGTTATAGGTCAGATCAGTGGGTTGGTGACATGGGTTAGGAAGTGAAGGGGGTCAGTTTGATAATTAGCCAGGATTTAGGGCAGGTTTTAATCCATTCCTGGTTAATTATTCAAGTAATTGAGTTGGAAGATTCAAATCTCAGATTCAGGTCAGGTGGTTCAGGCCATGGGAAAATGTTTGGTCAGGTGAGGTTAAGGGTCAGGGTCACTTGAAACATGGGGTACAGTGGTGCATGAAATGGCTTTTGTGCTTGGATTGAATTGCTATACAGGCCGTCTCTGGGTTGTGAATGGGTTCCAATAGAAAAGGAGCCATTCATAAGTACAGGAAATGTTCATATCCAGATCTTTACAATTACACTCCTGTATGAGATCGCGCTCAAAAGTGCAAGCGTTCATTGAGTCAGACGTTCGCAAAATCAGGGACTCCCTGTATAGCTCATTCAGCTGTGTTTTTAATCGACTGTTGTTAGGCGACACAATGATTGCATGTGGACAGAAAGAAAAGTCCCATTGTTACAAGTTAACCATCTAATCTGAGCAAAAAACTATAACTCATGACACAAATCCTGACGGATGCCAGTCTTCAAAGTCCAGTCCGCACACGGACAATAATGCGATCAATGGGTCATTTTACCCATGCATGCTTACTGACATGCATCCACTTCCTCTTTGTTGGCCCTGTGCACAAGCTGATGTTGCCACACATTACAATGTGGAATCATTTGCTCAGACACAGTCATGTCTCCATGCTGACTGTAGTGCACACGCAGGAGGCAACATCATTGCTCACAGTCATAACATTATCAGCACATGCACACATTTCCCACAGCATTGAACCACATGTGGATTTGTAGGTGCTGTGACATCATCATGCATGCACAGATGAATATTGGTAATACAAGTTCCATTGCTGCTGACTCATGTCATGTGGGCCATCTGTGCATGTGCAGGCTCTGGCTGCCATTTTTAGCATTGGAAACACATAGTCAAATCTTATTTAGTTCAGTAATACAGAGTTAGTTGCATGACTTAATATTCCATAAAATTTTCAAGAAACATGTAGTGATAGCAATGAGCAGCCTGTCTGATCTCTCTGTCAAATTCTCAGAGTCAGATGTCAGACACTTCAGTACTCACCAGCTCCACCTATAGGCTAAAGCAATCAAGCACTGTACAATGAGCTGTGATTAGACAAGCATAAACAAAAACTACTGCTGTGAAACCAGTAACAAGTCTGGAGACATACGGAGCTTTTGCAGGATCTAACTGAATTGTCCAGATTTTCTTTAATGTCATTCAATTAAAATTGATGCATGGACATTCATAAAGATGTTTGATTTTCAGATTCTCAGATTTGAGGTACGCCACATGCAATACAAAGTTCTTCAGTATTTGGTCTCCATCATGTTGTTCTTAACCCCAGCCACATCCAAACCTCTTTTTTATTCTGATGTGGTGAGATGTTCAACATACACATCTTGATTGGTGAATTTAACCAAAGTTATTTCTCCATATTTTAATTGAGGCAAGACACAGAAATGTTGCTGAGAGCTTAACAAACATTAGTTAATCATAAAATGACAGAATTATTGCAGCACAGAAAGCAACCATTCAACCCAACATGTCTATGCTGGCTCTCCAAAGGAATAATTTGCCTAGTGCCACTCCCCTCCTTTTCCTCCAACACCTCCTCCCCCTCTGTCTTCTGTCATAGAGCAAATTTTGTATCCAATTGGTAACCTCACCCTGAATCTAACTTTACTAATTAGTCTACCATGTAAAATGTTGTCAAATGCTTTACTAAAGTTCAAGTAAACAAGGTCTGTCACTCTGCTCTCATCAATCTTTTTGATTACTTCATTAAAAAACTCAATCAAGTTTGTGTAACATGATTTTCTTCACACAAAACCATGCTGTCTATCCTAATCAATCCTTGCCTCTCCAAATGCATATAAATCCTATCTTTCAGAATCATCACCAACAACTTACCCACCAGCAACGTCAGACTCACAGATCTATAGTTTTCAGGCTTCTCCTTACAGCCTTTAATAAACAATGGCACACTATTAGCCAGCTGCCAGTCCTCTCATAATTCACCTGTGCTTATAAATGGTACAAATATTTCTGCTAGGGCACACAGTTTCCTCCCTAACTTCCCACAGTGTCCTGGGATACACTTAATCAGGTCCCGAAGTTTATCTACCTTTACATTTTCTAAGATCTCCAGCACTTCCCTTTCTGTAATGTGAACTGTTTCCAACCTTCTACCATTGGGAACATTTTCCCCCTATCTGACCTGTCCAGACTCTTCGTGGTATTTAACAAAACTCCTCCTAATCTTCTTCAAGGAAAACAGTCCCAGTTTCTAATTCTAATCTGAAATTCTTCACCGCTGGAAACATTCTCATGAATCTTTTGTTTATTCTCTCTTATGCCTTCAGTTCTTTATTAAAGTGCAGTGCCCAGAACTATACAAAATACTCCAATGGAGGCTGAACCTGGGTTTTATACAAGTTTAACACAACTTCTTTGTTTTTATACTCTATGTTGCTGATAATAGAGCTGTTATATGCTTTACAAACTGTTCTCTCAATTAAACTGTGTGCTTCAATTATTTGTCCACATATATCCCTCTGCTCTTGCATCCTATTCAGAATTATGTTGTTCATTTTAGATTCTCTGTCCGTAGTCTTCCTACAAAATTTATCACTTCACACTTTCCTGTATCAGATTGCTTCTGCCCCTTGTCTGCTCATTCCACAATACTATCCTCTTTGAAGTTCTACATGATTCCTCTTACAGTTGATAATGATTCAAAGTTTTATAACATCTGCAAGTTTTGAAATTGTGGAATGTTCATTGCATTTATTACAAAACAGACTTAACAATTGCAATCAATTAAAAAGCTAGGTACTCACGTGGGTCAGACTTTGAGAATGTATCTTTATCCAAAAGATTCCTGTGGAGAAAAAGCGATAGACTGTAAGACCATAAGACAGAGGAGTAGAATTAGGCCATTCAGCCCACTGAGTCTGCTCTACCACTCAATCATGGCAGATATGTTTCTCAACTCCATTCTCATACATTCTCCTCGTAATCTTTGATCTGCTTACTAATCAAGGAGATAAATTACATTTGCTGGAAAATAGCCAAATTTAGAATGCTGGATCAAAGCAATGTAAGATAATTTTTTTCTTCCCAGTGCCAAGACTGTTCACATTTTACTGAATATCAAATCATTATTCAACAATGTACATAAAATAAATTTAAGCATACTTCAATTCAAAGTAATTTTTAATTTTGTTTTTATTTTTGCTTTCCCTCCTCAATCCTTAACTTTCCCTTGCCACTTTTACACTTTCAGGATTTCCTTCCCAAATACCATGGTACCTCCTCAATGGAATGTCAAATGATCTGATCTCAGACTTCTGTGATTTTACTTAGTAATCATTCAGGCACTAAAGTATGACCAAAGTCAGTTCTTCCACAGGATTTTCTTCTAACTCTGAGGTCACCGAATGATGGTCTTCCATAAACCATACAACTTGGTTGAAAGAAATTCTAAGAAATGGCTTAAGATTGAGTGACCTATACTTTGTCAAACATTAATAATTGGCAACTTGATAGAGATTTGACAGTGCCAGTTTTTTTCTCATATTTAACTAAAGCTTGTTTTCTGGAAAGTAGATAATGAACTTGTCGTTTTCATGACTATGTGCCCTGCCTTTCGGAATCTGTACATATTAATTTATTAATATGCAATACAGAGTTCTCAGTAACACACTTTATAACTAAGCTGTAGGTGTGTGGATTTCTTTAATTTGATCACACCACGCAACTTAACCACAGAATGTAACTGCAGTACAATAGCACCACATGACATGGCAGTGAAACCTGAATTAAACAACAGTGTTTTAAATATATCAAAGCCTAACTCTAAAGAAGAAAATAAACTGCCTAAGAACTAGTATTTCTCAGTTAATAAATGTATTCCTCATGTTTGGCTGTGCTTTGAATCTATTTAAAACATAAACCAGCTCAGTTTTTTTTTATTTTGAGATTGTTGAATACCAATTAAGATTATGACATTTTCAATCTAATCCCTGTTTTTTTTTTAAATATGTGCACCAAAATATCTTTTTGCAGATAGAAAAGTACACTAAGATATTTTATTTCATTGTATACAAGGCAGCAAAATATGAAAGTTTTAAAAAATGAAATGCACTGAATGGAGACTACAGAATTAGAAATTCAGGAAACCCATTGAACTCGATTAACTTGAAATTAAAATGTATCAGTTTCTACACAGCAAAAATTATATGAACACAATTATGTTAATGCCTTCTTTAAACATGCTCTCTTGAATTAATGAATGTATGAAATAGTCTGTGTTAGGACAGGTTTTGACACATAAGAAATTAATACATTACATTATATTAGTGTCAATCTCAATACAGTATCACCTGAAATCTTGAGGACCCAATGCAATAACACTTTAGCTGTTAACTTCCTATAGGAGTGAAGGTTTCCCAATTAGATTTTAAAATTAGTTTGTAACTGCCAAGGTTCAGCAGGCCAATACTTCAAAATGTCAATGTTGCAGCCAGCATTCACAACTATTTTAAAACTCTATATTAGTATGGATTATTGATCCATTTCCTGAATCATAGCTATATAGCTCAGATATGGGGGAGTTTTCTAATGATTGCACAGTGTTCAGTTCCATTCATGATTCCTCAGATAAAGAAGCAGTTCTCGTCCCTCTGCAGCAAAATGTGGACAATATGGAGGTTTAGTTTGCAAAGTGTAAGTGCTAGGCAATGATCATCAAAAAGATATAGTCTAATCATCTCCCTTGGCATTCAAATGACATTATCATCCAAATCCCCCAATTAAGATGTTCGTGGTCGCTACTGACAGAAAACTGAATTGATCGAGGTACATAGTTACTATAGCTCCAACATCAAGCTAGAGTCGAGGTATTTCTGCAGCCAGTGACTCACTCCTGACACCCTAACTTAAGAACATAACAAATGGGAGCAGGAGTAGGCCATCTGACCCCTCAGGTCTGCTCCACCATTCAATAAGATCATGGCTAATCTTTTCATGGACTCAGTTCCACTTACTTACCCACTCATCATAACCCTTGATTTCTTTACTGGTCAAAAATCTATCCTTGCCTTAAAAAAATTCAATGAGGTGGCCTCAGCTGCTACACTGGGCAGGGAATTTCACAGGTTCATAACCCCTTTGGAGAAGAAGTGCCTCCTCAACTTAGTCCAAAATCTGCTCTGCCTTAATTTGAGGCTATGCCCCCTAGTTCTAGCTTCACCCACCAGTGGAAACAACCTCCCTGCTTTTATCTTATCCATTCCCTTCATAATTTTACACGTTTCTATAAGACACCCCTCATTCTTCTAAATTCCAATCAGTATAGTCCCAGTCTACTCAATCTCTCCTCCTGAGCCAAACCTTTCAACTCTGGAATCAACCTAGTGAACCTCATCTGCACCCTTCCAGTGCCAAAACTGTACACAGTACTCCAGGTGTGGCCTCACCAGCATGCTATACAGCTGCAGTATAACCTTCCTAGTTTTAAACTCCATCCCTCTAGCAATAAAGAAAAATATTCTATTTGCCTTCTTAATTACCTGTTGCACCAACAAGCCAATGTTTTGTGATTAATGCGTAAGGATATCCAGGTCCCATGTCCTTCTGCACAGCAACATGCTGCAATTTTTCACTATTTAAATTATAGTCCATTTTGCTGTTATTCCTACCAAAATGGATGACCTCACATTTACCAACATTGTAATCCATCTGCCAGACCCTTGCCCACTCACTTAACGTATCCATATCCCTCTGCACACTTTCAGTGTCCTCTGTACATGTTGCTCTATCACTCTATCACTCATCTTAGTGGCATCTGCAAACTTTGACACACTACACTCGGTCCCCAACCCTAAATCATCTATGTAAATTGTAAACGTTGTAAATACTTTCCACTATATATAAAGCACAAATTAGAAATGTGATAAATACACTTGAGGTGTAAACTGAGTATTTATATATTTCAATACCATAGTGGTAATGTCACTGTAGCACCTGGTAATCCGGAGCCCAAGGCTAACGTTCTAAAGACCACCAGTGCAGCTGGCAAAGTCATAAAAGTCTGGTGTTTAAAAAAAAATCTAATCTAACGGCACCCATATAACCACTGTCAATTGTCATAAGAACCTAATGGTTAACTAATGTCAGTTAGGGAAAGAAATCAGCCATCCTGATCTGGTTTGGACTACATGTGAATCCAGATACAAAGCAAGGTGGTTTCCTTTGTAAATGCTGGCCCAGTCAGTGACATCCACATCCTGTGAATGAATAAAAAATATTGCATTTTACAACTTACACGTTGAATTAATGGTGTGTGTATAGGCATGTGTGTGTGTGCACATGTGCGATGATTAACTTGTAAGGATTTCTGAAGTGATGCTTTGTTAAAAACAACATGTGAGATGTACAGTCCTTGGATGCTGATGGGAGCTTGTTTACATTGGGAGAGTTTTTATGCATGAAAAATATAAACAATGCAGAACGTTAGGCTTCAGTTAGAAGGATCGAGAAAGGTGTTTTTTTGGTTTAGGGAAATAAAACACACAGCTTGGAAGGCTGTTTTGGTTTCAGCTTTGCTGAAGCCTTGGTTGAAGGTGGATATGCACAAGAATTTCTCCTGTAGAAGGAAGAAGGTTGAGAATTATTAAGAAATTTATTACTTCGATTCAGGAAGAATAGTTAGAAAGCTCTAGGCCTAAACAGGTTATCTGAAGCAGAGAAAATCTAAGCCCAATTGAATGAAGCCTCAAGCATGAGGTTATCAGATTCTCAAGACTGGGAATTTAAACATCAGTTAAGCCCTATAGATAATAGAAAACATAGAAAATTAAGAGCAGACATTGGCCACTTGGCCCCTAGATCCCACTTGGTCATTCGTGGTGACTATGGTCAATCATCCAACTCAACAGCCTGTTCCTGCTTTCCACATGTCTTTTGATGTCTTCAGCCCCAAGTGCTATTTCCAACTCCTTTTTGAAATCATACAATGATTTGGCTTCAACCACTTCTGCAGCTGAAAATTCCACAGGCTCACTGTAGTGATTGCAGCCAGGTTGACCACAACATCATTGATTGGGGTTGTTATGGGCTAATCAAGATCAATACAACCAGCAGATTAGATCTCCTCAGTTTGGGTCACTGACTCCGAGCTGGCTGGCCATGGCCAGTGTACTGATGCACTAGTAAAGGGTGACTGGGTGATGGGGCCCAGCCTCTGTGCCGATGTTTCAGTATGTGGGCCCCGGACTGAGCCTTTCTGCGTGGACCAAGCCTTCATGCATGGGCCGGGTCTCCATGTGTGAGTGGGCATCTGTGTGTGGGGACTGATAGCTTTGCGTGTAGGCCGAAAGCCTAGCGTGTATGTTGAAAACCCAGTGTGTAGGTAGAAAGCTCTGCTTGTAGGCCAAAAGCTTTGTGTGTGATGTTATGTGAATTGAGCTTCAAATCTCAGGCTTCACTTGAATGCATTGTTATGCATTTTTACTTTTGGAGAAAAACAAACTGAAACAATTTTTTTTTGAAAGAGTGCAGTAACTTGGATTGCCAAATGCATAAAATGAATGACCTCAACATTTATCCAAATTATACTTCATCTGCCACGCATTTGCCCACTCATTCAGCTTGTCCAAATCACACTGAAGCATCTCTGCATACTCCTCATTCATCCACTTTTTCTTACAAATGCCCCCAGGACCCATAACTCTGGAGTGAAAGAAAGTCATTTCCAGATCAGTGACTAAACAGTCTGATGCAGGACCAACACACCTGGCCACAAAGAGGTGTCTACTGAAGCAGGTGGGTGGGTTTTTGCTTCATCTCCACCTGAATCTGTCAAGGATGCTCACAACG